CTAGATTACATCACGATTCTTGAGAAGGGATTTTCAGTTGCGACATGTTGGTATCAGAGCTCTAAGTTCATAGGTTCTATGAATCATAAACGAGTTTAGTAGAGTCTTGCGGATCTGTAGAGAGACATCTATACTTATCTTCAAGATGATATATAACTATTAGGAGAACATCACTTCTTTAATTCCTATCATGCGAGTTTATTTATTTCAGAGTTTGAGATTTTGTCATTTTATTCTCTCACAGATGGTGAGAACACGAGCTGTAGTTACTAATGATACTGCCTCTAAAGCTGGTATTGCTTGGGGCCAAGGAAGAGGCCGATAAGCACGTGCTACAGCTAGAGCACCTACTAGAGTAGGAGCTGAGAAGCCACCAGTAGCTTTGGTTGGGGAACAGACACCGGAGGTGCCTATTGCTACACCGGGACTTCAAGAGACGTTAGCACAGTTCTTGAGCATGTTTGCTCAGGCAGGATTGATTCTGGTTGCCCCAGCTACTTCACAAAGCGGGGAGGAGCTCAGACTACCGTCGCCCATATTCCGGAGAAGCTTGTCCACATTGGTCAAGTTTTAGGTGTCATGCCAGCACAACCTGTTATTTCGGTTCAGCCTGAGGTCAAGCAATGGCATCTAAGGAGGAGCAGTTGAGACTTAAGAGATTGAAGAGGTATCTTCCTCTTACTTTCAGTGGCTTAGCTTCAGAGGATGCACACGATTTGCTAGAGAAGTGTCATCGTATTCTCCGCACCACGGGTATTGTGGAAATGAACGGGGTTGATTTTACTACTTTCCTGCTGTTGGGTGAAACATATTAGTAGTGGCGGTATTACGAGGAGGGTATCCCAGTCGATCTAGCTTCACTTTCATGGACTCAGTTTTTAGAGATGTTCTTGAGAGAGTTTTTTACCTATACCATTCGGGATGCATGGCGTGCAGAGTTCGAGCAGTTGCGCCATGGTACTGTGTCAGTGTCAGAGTATGCTGTTAGATTTAGTAATTTTTCCAGGCATGCACCTGCTTTGGTTTCTACAGTTGGAGAACGAGTATGCACTTCATTTAGGGGCTAAGTTGTGGTATCTGATTCAGCATTGCCCGAGAGTTGGAGATGGATGTTTCATTTCAGCAGATGGTAGAGATCGCTTGCATATTATAAGGTATGTGTGGTCAGGAGGGAGAGGGTAGGGAGGCCAAGACGCCTCGCAAACCGGTAGGAACTACAGATCCCTATTGTGGAGGTAGGGTACGCCATGGTAGAGGTCTTGTGCGTCAACTAGTTCATTTTACACTTTAGGCTTTACGTGGTGTTTCAGCTATCCATGGGTCCCAGATTACCCGTATCGGACATCTTCCACAGCGACATCAGCGGAAAGGTTACTTTGAGTGTGGAGATACTAGCCACATGGTGAGAGATTGTCCAGATTCCAGACAAATGTGTAACAATTGGGTATTTAGGTTATTAGTTCTACTCCAGATGCTTCTATACCCGCACTACCAGCTGGGGTGGAGGTCAGGTATGTAGAGGTCATACTAGAGGGGGTGTTCGGGCCTATTATTATGATTTTTCTAGTTGGGCGGAGGCTGATGCACCAGATGATGTCTCTACAGGTGTGATTTTGATTGATTACAGAGATACATTTATGTTATTTTGATCCAGTCCCATTGGTAGGTAAGATTCAGCCTACCTTACTTCAGATTTGGCTGCGTTTTGTGATTCTTCTGCTATGTTCAAGTGTTCGTGCCAGTTGGGGAATTCTGTTCTGATAGCGCATGTCTATCGTCCTTGTTCGATTTCTATTGTGGATCATGAGGCTTGGGTGGACTTTCTATTAGTCAAATATGGTAGGATTTGATGTGATCTCTGAATGGTTTAGCCAGACTTGTGGTTTAGGTGCTTTACAGGTATGGCAAGTTATTACATGTTGTGTTTTTGGTTCTATGAGGTTGAGTTAGTATAATAGTTTAGTTTCTGAGATATTTATTGTACTCGTGATTTCGAGTGGAGGAAGGGGACCTAGTGTTCCCTATGAATGGGTGTGTGAGTGTTGGTATATTCACCACGATGAGGTCATAGTAAGGTAAGATTTATTGTGGTTGTTGCGTGTGTCTTGCTTTTATATTCAGTCATATTTGAGTTGTGCTTGTTGGGTTTGGATCGCAATGTATATGCTCGAGTGGTAGTCGACGTGGCTTGTTGATCGAGTGAGTAGTTATGAGTTTCGCATGTTTCTTGCATCATTATCAGTTTGTAAAGGTTTGGCACAAGGTTCCACTCGATTGGAGATTATTCGCCTGTACCGGGCTTGGTAATGGGCAACTATTGTTGTCAGAATTATTACTATAGACATATGGGTGATGTGTTAGGTCATGTAGTTGTATCTTGTGGATGCATGCATGAGCGGTCGCAGCTAGTTGAGAATTTTTATAGAGTGGTTGCGTGATGATAGGGCGCTTAGTGGATGTAAAAATTTGATTCTAAGGCTTATCAACATGAGTAGCACGAATAATCTTTGGTTCAAATGATGTTGTGGGACCTATATGGATTAGGGTGATGTATGATTACCCGTGGTTACGTGTATGGTGAGTTTGTACCAATAATTGATGTGTTGGGAATGACTCTTGGCATGTTCGAAGATGAACGTTTATTTAAGAGGAGGAGAACGTAACGAGCCGATCGGTCGCTTTGAGAATTTGGATTGCGTTGGGTGGCTTAAGGTCTCAAGTAGCTTTGTATTGTGTATTATGACTTTCATGTGTGGCCATGTTTGGTTTTTGGATGATTCACGGTTGATTTGGAAAAGTGATTCTTGTTTTAGAAGCTTAAGTGGCAAGAGTTGACCGGAGTTTGACTTTTGTGTAGACGAATCCGGAATGGTGTTTTAATGATTCCAATAGCTTTGTATGGTGATTCTAGACTTAGGCGTTTGCCAGATTTGGATTTGGAGGTCCGTAAGTTGATTTGTTGCATTTTGACGTAAGTTGAAAGGTTTGAATTTGCATTTTTGCGAAAATTGACTTTATTGATATCACCTTCACATTGTATTTTTGTAATTTGGAATAGCTCCGTTGTGTCATTTGGGACTTGCATGAAAAATTTAACGTCATTCTGGGATGATTTGATACGATTCGGCACGAGTTATAAAAGTTGAAAATTCATAGTTCATTAAGCATGAATTGAAGTGCGAATTGTGGTTTTGATGTTATGTTTCGTGATTTGAAGTCTTGAGTAGGTTCGTGTAATGTTTTGGGACTTATTGGTATAATTTGATGGGGTCCCTAGGGACTTGGGTATGTTTTGGATCACTGGTTGAGAGACTAGTTAAGTTAAAGAATTTGGAGTTTGACCATGGTCAATATTGGGTCATGACTTTCTATATTCAGTGTTTTGAGTGTACGAGCAGGTCCGTAGCGTATTTTACTATTAAAATTCATATATGATTTGTGTCCGGGAGGTTCCGGATGAGTTTCGGGGTGGTTTCAGATTATTTTGGCGATGTTTGGGATTACTGGTGGTGGTACTTCGCAGTTCCGAACTTTTTGTTGCAATTGCAAACTATAGCAATGGTGAACTTTTTGTCGCATTTGCGAACATGTGGTCTCAATTGCGAACTTTTGGTCGCAAATTTCGAATATCCGTAATTGCGAACTTTTGATCACAAATGCAACATCTGCAGCTGGGTTAAGAATTGAAATTTTTGGATTTTAGCTCATTCTTTGATATTTTGAATCTTTTACCCGATAAGAGGTGATTTGGAGAGGAAATTTTCATCTACAATCATTGGGTAAGTGAATGAAAATGCAGAGTCGATGTTAAATTTTATTAATTTTGGTCAAAATCATATTTTAGAGCTCAAGTCCAAGCATATGAACTTATTTTCAAGAATAACAAGAAGTTCAAGAAGCTCAAGATTGATTCCAAATATCTAAGATTAATTCTTTCTTGCTTACGTCTTTCTATAAATAGTTAGAAGTTATCTCAATTTACGTCTTTCTATATTTTATTTTTTCTATCATAGTTTTTTTTAATTAATTCTTTACCTACATAGTTCTAGCTAATATAGAAATAAATTTATGAGCGGATATGTATAGATATAGATATAGTTATATAGATTATATTTGTCTAAGATCAATTTAGATTATTTCTTATTCATTCAACTACTTTCATTAATTATGTTCCCTTTCTAATTCCTAGTTATTAATGGTGTCCTAAAATTGCCAAGTGGCTTCTTTTTAGCTTGTCACTTGACTTATCCACAATGCATAATATCCTCCTTTTAATACAATATATAGATCTAGATAAGAGATCGGTCACGTTAACTTTCATAAAGTGTTAGAACTTTATAATTAATTATTGAAACTCTATTTCCTTTTGTCATTATTATGTTAGAAAGCAATAAATTAGAACCCTTCAAGTTTTCATGTTTAAACACATAATTAACGTTTGAAATCCCATACTTAATGCAAATAAGAAAAATTTTGATAAAATTTTTTTGTTTGATTTCAATGTCCTAAATATAAGAAAAATTACATAATGATGATGTTTTCCCGAGATAAATTTAGTTTTAAGGGGTAAAAAAGGTGAATGACATTTTGCGAAGGACCTTCGTGCTTTTAATATAACTAGTCTTAGAGTATGCATGTTGCACTTGTACCATAATAAGAAGTATAATTTTTTTTAAAATTAAATAAATATCAATTAAAACAGCGTATAGATCAAAGATATGACCAATAACTCCTATAGTGCAAATTCTCTTTTATTAATTTTGTAGTTGAGTTAAGGAGTATAAAATTTAAAAATTACATAAGTATAAGTTTAAGTTTAAGTTTGAGTTTGAGTTTGAGTTTGAGTTTGCTCACCGATAAATTCGGTACACCAAAAAGTTAGGTATTCTTTTATGGATTTTTTTTATGCCACCAACAACACACTTGGATTTCCTTTAAAAGCCGTCAAAGAGATACTAGTGATTATCACAAAATTCAGTGTATTTCCAAAATTTGAAATTATGGATGTTAAAGTTCTTTCCAAGGAAAACATCAAACCCTCTATACCAACTCCTCAGCACCTAAGGAACTACCAAATCTCTTTCATTGACCAGTTTAGTCCATCTTCCTACATCCCAGTCATTCTCTTCAACAATAATGCCAACGTTGTTTATGACCACTTGAATAAAGAAAAAACCTTGGCTTCAGATCTCCTTAAGAAATCTCTTGCTGAAACCCTGAGTTATTACTTTCCTCTTGCCGGTAGATTCAAAGACTTCAACTCCATTGAGTGCAATGACGATGGAGTTGTATATATGGAAGCTCAAGCAAACTTCCATCTCTCTAAGTTTCTTGAAAATCCTGATATTCCGTTCCTTAACAAGTTCCTTCCATGCAAAGGAAACTGCCTCGAACAGAATTGTCAATCTCTCCTTGCTGTACAAACCACCACATTTGAATGCGGTGGAAGAGCCATTGGAGTTTGCATGCTTCACAAGGTTGACTTTTCAATAGTTTAATTTGTACTAGTCCCTCCGTTTCAAGTCATGTGGCACACTTTCCTTATTAATTAGTTTCAATGAAAATGACGCATTCAAACTTTCCATCTAACTCATTTACTCTCGATGAAAAGTTTTCTATAGTCGAACAAATTGAAAGCTCAACAATCAAAATATTTTTTTTAACTCCGTGCCATGTCAAACTACGTCACATAAATGAAAGAGAGGGAGTAATATAAATGAAAACTGAAGTGGGTTTGTCTCACATCGAAAGTCAAAAATGACTTAGAATTTCTAGTTTTTATTAAATTTAGGTTTTTAATTTAAAAGAACATGTTTGGTCATGAAAAAAATGAATGTTATGAATAGCCTTTTTTCGACTCTATAAATTCGTTTGACTTTTTTTTAATCTGAATTTCTACTAACAGGTTGTAGATGCATCTGCAATGAGTGCTTTCTTGAAAACATGGGCCAAGCTTACCCAGGGTGAAGGTGATCGATAAAACACTAGATCCAGACTTCACCTCAGCAATCTCTCTATTCCCTCCAATGGATTCATTACCAACTAAGTTCATAAGGAATTTGGAGAACTTCTATTTCCAAGGCTCAAAATCGCCAATGAGAAGGTTCTTGTTCGACTCCAAAGCCATAAAAGCTCTCAAAGCTAACACATCTAGCCAAAGTGTTCCTTTTCCATCTAAGATTGAAGCGTTAACAGCTTTTCTTTGCAAACGGATTGCAGCAGCCTCTAAATTCCTTACAGATGTACCAAAGACTTTAGCGATCACGCATGTTGCAAATTTAAGGCCTCGCGTTGATCCACCTTTGCCGCAAAACATTTTTGGAAACCTTCTATGGATACCCATTGCATTTTATGACCCTTTGGATGCCAGCATGGAGTTGCCTGATTTGGCAATAATGCTAAGGGAGGTGTTTGCGCGATTAACGGCGGAGAACGTTAAAGGTACTTTTGAACTGCGTAATCATTTCATCTGAAAATGTAATTTTTTTCAGAGAAAGAGCATATTTTCATTTACTTAATTATGTTTTCAACAGAAATAGAGAGCGAGTCTACACTCACGACCCTCAACGAGTTGTTTAGTGTGTCAACAAATGAGAAGATAAAGATTTTCAGATTCACAAGCTGGTGCAATATGGGAATATATGATGTTAATTATGGTTGGCAAAAGCCTGTTTGGGTAGCTCATATGGGGGATTTGGATGCTGCTAATATTCGATCCAAACATCAGTTTGTCTTTTTAGAAAGTGCATGCAAAGAGGGGATAGAGTTGTGGATTGCATCTGATGATGAAGAGATTAGGGTTGTGGAAAAGGATCCAGAGTTTCTCGGATATGCCAAGCCAAATCCAAGTATTTGCAAATAAATGGCTCATTTGGAGAAAGGTTCAAAGAAATTATCAACTTTCTACAAATGTGTCTTGGAAGTGAGAGAGAAGTGTTATGCATCTTACTAAATTTGGCTGACATAAATGTTCTCTCTCCATTGTATGTTCTCTTGCATTTTTCATTATCTATTGTGTGCTTAGTTTTCCAATAATATACTGCGGTGTTTCAAATGAAGTACGCATTTTCATTTAACCAGGCCCAAATCCTTGTTTTAGTACTGTTGCTGGTATCTTTACTTATTAGTGGCGTCCTATTAAATACATATAATTGTATACGGTCAAAATCGGGCTTACCCTTTTTATATGATTAATCAAGACCGGGACATGGTAGATCAAGGTTCGACCCCATGTCATACCAGACCGTGATGCGAAATTAGATTGCCGAGTTCATGACCCAAAGACCAATCAAGATCGAGATCAGCGAAGATCAAGACCGAGCAAGATAGAGATCGAGCAAGATTGAGGGAAACTTACCGATCCAAATAACGGAAAGCCAAAATATCCGCGATCGGGCGAGGATCACGGCAAAAATCTTGGCACGTATCAAGAAGAGGCCGATTAATTAGCTAATAATTGGATTTCTTACTTTAGGATTGTATTAAGGGTAGGGCTCTCCTACTATATAAAATGGTCTGATCATTTGTAAAACATCATCATATTCACGCAATACAAAGCAATATATAGCCATTCTCTAGTTATCACTGTCTTCTATTCTGTTCTTCAACGAGTTGATACATGTTTGGTTCAAGGGTGATCGATATCGAGTGCCAAGGCTGTTCAATTTGTGTAATCTGCATTTATTCTTTAATTTTCTATTTCAATAATAATTTATTCTTCCCAATTTGTACCAAGTTATATCACATATCCTTAACACCGCGTATAAATTCAATTGTAATCCGATTATAGGGTAAATAATTTAGCGTCCACCGTAGGGCTAAGGATAATAGTGGTTACCTGGAACAAATTTTTGTAACATATTATTTTACACTTGCTCTTTGAAGTATCTTTGATTACAGGATTAAAAAATGTCAAACTCTCAGTTAGCACCTCAACACATTCACAATGATCTCAGCCACCACGGCGTAAAGGAGAATGTTACACCTGGAAACGTTGTACCCCCTGCTGGCCTTGCTGTAGATCCGATCGACGACAATTCACATGTAGCCATCAATGGAAATTTGGTCATCGATCCCGAAAGCAGCATCTGCGGGGATGCCCGATCAGCTATTCAGAGCACACGTGGTGGTGAAGATGGAGGGATCATCCTGCGAGTGATCTTCGAAATGTTGTAGGCTCGACAGGCAGCAATAGCCTAGCTCCAAAATAAGAACCACAAACCGAGCAGGGTCGAACTCGAGTCATCCTAGGAAATTGTACACAGGATCGAATCGGTTTCGAGGAAATCGAACAAAAGGGTTATCGAAGACCAATCGTGCTATCATAAAGATGCTTGAAGAACTGGTAAAGTAAATCAAGAAAGAAGAAAAGAAGATCAAGGAAAACAATAATAAGGTGGAAATCTATAACTCCAGGGTCGACCAAATCCTGGGGGCACCATCAATATTGAAAGGACTAGATTCCAAAAAGTTTGTACAAAAACCTCCCCCTCCCTCCCGAGTGCAGCTTTGAAGTCGATCCCTAAGAAGTTCTGTATGCCAATGATTTGTAAGTATAACGGGATGACTGATCCAATCAAACACATCACCTCATCCATGTGTGCTATCAAAGGAAATGACTTGGAAGATGACGAGATCGAATCCGTCTTGTTGAAGAAATTCGGAGAGACTCTATCGATGGCTGCTATGATATGGTATTATAATTTACCACCTAATTCTATTGATTCATTTGCTATGCTTGCAGATTCTTTTGTAAAGGCACACGTCGGGGCCATCAAGGTCGCAACAAGGAAGTCGGACATTTTCAAGGTAAGCCAAAAGGAAAACGAGATGCTCAGAGAATTCGTGTCTCGATTCCAAATAGAACGGATGGATCTGCCATCGGTCACCGATGATTGGGCTTTTCAAGCTTTCACTCAATGTCTCAACGTTCGAAGTTCAGTAGCTTCACAGCAGTTGAAGCCGAATTTGATCAAATACCAAACTGTCACTTGGGCCAATGTACACAATCGGTATCAATCGAAGATCAGGGTCGAGGATGATCAATTGGGGGCTCCTTCTAGGTCTGTTTATCTTATCAGGCCCATAGATAGAATCAAGAGGGATAACAACCAAGAACCAAGGTCAAATAGAGATTGATATCAGTCGTACAATAGAGACCGTAGATGCAACGGATCTGGGTAAAATTCTGCACGAAATAAGTGGAAAATGATCGAGGTAAACTTTTACGGGGACTCATGAGTAAGAACGGCATCGATAGATCCATCGGTCCCAAAGAAGCAACACGATTATTGGAGTACAACTTTAATGTGGATACAACTGCCATCGTATCGGTCATTGGATGCATCAAAGATACCAAGTGGCCTCGACCTTTGCAAACTAATCCAGCACAAAAGGATCCCAACCAAATATGCAAATATCATGGCACATATGGACACCGAGAGAGGAAGTAGCATGTTTGTTCAACGATGATCATCTTCAAGAATTTCTGAGTGACCGAGCTAAAAATCACTTCAGAAACAGGGATTCCAACAAACTAAACGTTCAGGATGAACCTCAGCAGTCATCCATATGATCATCGGATGGGTCGATGTTTCTCAATGTCTGATGATCAAATGAACCAAAGTGTCGATCACAAGAGAAAAATAAACTCGGGATTACTTACCAGAAAGAGACTCTATCTTTCAACAACGTGGACGCAGAAGGAATCATGCATCCTCATAATGATGCACTGGTAATCTCTGTACTTATGAATAAAACTAGAGTTAAGCGTGTGCCAATTGATACAGGTAGCTCAGCCAACATCATTCGGTTGAGGATAGTGGAACAACTCGATCCCAAGACCAGATCATACCTGCGACTCGAGTGCTGAATGGGTTCAACATGAGTTGCGAAACTACTAAAGGAGAAATGATATTTTCGGTGAACGTTGCCGGTACCATCCAGGAAACAAGGTTCTATGTAATCGAGGGGGCCATGAGATAAAACGCCCTGTTGGGAAGACTATGGATCTATAACATGAGGGTCGTACCTTCAACACTTCACTGGGTATTAAAATTCCCAACACCAAAGGTGATAAAAACGGTTTAGGGGGAACAACCCCCCACGATGGAGATGTTTGTCGTCGATGAAGTAATTCTGATATCAACACTTTCATCGACAAAGGACTCAAGTTTGAAATCCAAATAACAATCATCAATGCCAGCTTCGACCCAATCGTACAAGCAAGGGATTGACAAAGATAATGACTTCAGGGTTCCTCAATCTTTCATCGCCCCCGATGATTTTGATGCTACCAACTCAACGGTCGAAGAACTGGAGCAGGTCGTGCGGATCGAACATCTGCCCGATCAGAAGGTATACCTAGGCACGGGGCTAACTCTCGAGCTCAGGAAACAGTGGACACTCGAATACTGAGGGCATTTCTCTTGGATGTCAACTTTGTTGTGACGAAATTACTTCATAATAGCGGGGTCTGGATAGGTGAGATTTGTTGTAAGGGCTAAACGGTCAAACAAAACGTTCCCGCATAGGTTGCTCGAGCCCTGGCGCAAAACATGTATGCATGTATAATCATTTTTCACAAGAATAAAGATAAGTATTTTTCCTTGAAATTATCTCATATCTTAGAAAAAGTTTTTCTACTTTACAATTCAATAGTTTCGATCTATTATGGAAACACGCTCAAGGGGGCCAATTATAACAAAAGTTCGGATAATCACTCCCGCACTCAGGGATTGCCGTCCGAAAAATAAACTTGAATAGATCGAACTATTGAGCGTCGATGGTACAAGACCTCTTAGGCAACCCTCGAATTTTAAAGGCCATGACCATACCCACTCGGGATTGTTATTTAAGGCATGCCTGGATAATTCGGGAAAGCAAGCTCATTGGGCTACGCCCAAACTAAAAGGATACTTACAATTTAACAATGTTCAGAGACATTTGAAATACGTAACAAAAGTAGGCCTTTGAAAAGAAAAAATTATTTTACAATCGATTTAAAAGGATACCTTCGACATCATCTAAAACTTAAGATATTTTTGAGAGAAAACTTTGGTAACATCGAACCCCGATAACACCTCAACCCAGAAAGGTAACTAAAGCAAGGTATATTCGAACCCGCGAACACAACCTCATTATTTCAGGCTAAGGCATTCCACCCTTTGTGAACACAAATGATAAAGGAAAGGGAAAAAACTTCAGAGCCGAAAGAGAAATAAAAGCCTTATATTTATATACAATAGTTTTTTACAAAGGCTAAATCGGCTTAATACAAAATCTACAATGACCGAAATGGCCTCGGAATGATGCAAGAGAAAAACAAAAAACCTAAAGGCCTAAGTGGTATGGTCTGCATCAGAGGCAACATCTTCATCCTCGAGTACTTCCTCGACTTCAAACTCACTTAAACTATATGATTCCTCCTAGGGAAAGGCTAGCTTTCGAGCCATGGCTTCCTCTACTTTGGCATTCTCGAGTGCGGCCTATACATCGAAGCCTGAGCATGGACTTCCTAGAGGGGTTCCTTTCGATCTTGCCACTTTGCATGATCCACCATTATTTTGGCCTGCGCCTGGATGGCCCCCAACATCGACCTTATACTGGGCCGCAGTAGCGTTAGCTTTAGTGTTGGCCGTTGCAACCTCAAATTTGGCTACCTCGAGCTCATTAGCAAATTAGCTAACTGGGATGGAAGCTCCACGATTTTCTTTGCGTGCACCGAGGATCACTCTCTTGCAACCCGAATATGGGACTCGGCTGACTCTAACTCTGCATGGGAGGCCTATTTTTTTAGGCTAAGATATCCATATTCTTCTTAAACTCTTCAGCCTTGGCTCGAATTGAATCTATTTATTTCTAAAGATCCTCGATCTGTTCGAGCCTCTGTCGGACCTACAGAATTGGATTATTAGTCGTTATCTCCAATTCTTCTTCACTATGTTGAATCACTTAGAATACATGTTTGGTTATCTCAGCATGCTTATCCCGAGCCTTCACTAAATCTGCCTGAAGCTTCTCACTAAGAAGCTTTTAGGTATCATTTTTCTCAGTGAGGTCCCAAACCTCGTCCTTG